CAGGAATGCAGGATCTGAAAGGAAAAATGGAAAGCTTTCTGTTACCATAAACAGTCTATGCCCATTGCCTTCTGCACCAACAAGTCCACTGTGACCCAGATCTAAAGTTCACATTTTTATGAAAAAAAACACAGCCCAGAAAACAATATAGTGGAATGATATAAAATGGCAATATGTGATAAAAAGTGACAGTTTTATTTTGTTGTTGACTTACAGTCAAATAATAGGAAATCCACTGTGCAAATGTTCTTCATTTCTTAATCATTAGCAAGCAGCAGAAAAATCTCAGCAGTGTTTGAAAGTAGCTGTTCAGAGGGGAATAACATTTATGCCTAATGGTCTATTTATCCCTAATGATTTGCTAAGTCATTCCATCTCTACATCCCTCCTTTTCTAAAAGACAGCATGGGAAAATGTTTTATTGCGATTTCAGTTTTCCAGGGTTCCAAGGAATACAGGACACAGATTAGAGAACTCAACATGACCAAGAATGATCTGCATGCAAATTTCTCTGTTATGCTTCAAGCAATAGGAAAGCAGCTGTGCTTGGAAGGAGATAAAACTCTTAAAAATAATGGTAAACTAATATGTTTTTGCAATAGCTTACTTTTCAAGTTGGCAGGGAAGGAAATGAGATATATCTTCTGTATCTTCTCAGATACAGACACTCTCTGTCTCCTGAGTCTATCCAGTACAGGACTGTTTCTGAAATCACTTTTCCACAACTTGACTATTTAATTGGCAGCCAACAATGAGCTAGCAGTTCTCTTCAAAAAAAAAAGAACTTCAGAAGCTGTTCTCTTCAGAAATTATATTCTGAGGAGAAAGAGCTTCAAGCTAAGGAATCCTGTTGTGACTCTTGGGAAAGGGGTTTTCATTGTCTAGACATCTGACTACATTCAAGCTAACTGCTTAAGTCTCCATTTTAGTTAATGTGACAGTGCAAGAGTACAGTTAATTTCCTCCCAAGACAGGCACCTGAAATGCCAGAAAAAGCATATTCCAGAAATATCTATTCCTGTTAATTGAATAAAAGGGCAATTCAGATGGATTCACAAACATATTAGATTTGTAGACTCCTGAAATTCAGCAAAATAAGTCCCATCTGCAGCATCTGAATCTCCCCAAAACCCCAAAGGTGTGCAAGAGGTGAGAGAGGGGGATAAGTTTTAATCTGTTTCATTTCATGAACCTTCTGGGGCCACAGTTGGATTTTGACTGAATTAGGACTGTTATATATATACTCCCTAAGGATTTTCTCGTCACAGGCTGTCAGCTATGTTCTCTAAGACACAGCTTCGAAACAGAAATGAAGTGATGATTTTCCTTTTCCAGGTCAGAATTGTGTACTCTGCCCTGCAAACTGGCAGTGGGAAGGTGGCAATACCTGTTACTATTTTTCTACAGAAGAGAAGACATGGCAACAGAGTGACAAGTTTTGTTCTTCACAAAACTCCACTCTTCTTCTGATAAAAGAAAAAGTAAAGTGGGTATGGCCCAGTTTCTGATTCTGTTTAACATGAAGGAAGTTCCTATATGGTGAGAATGGCTATACTATTCTTAAGAGTTTGGTAAAGGACATAGATTGCATGAGTGAGTTAACACAGCCCCAGTTCTTTCAATGCATAACAGAGACACTACAAATTCAGCAGTTTCCTATCAGCCTGCTCACTTCATGTGAATATGGGTGCATAATTTACTTAACTTGGACTGTGAGCAGGAGATTTTCTAAAGTGATTATACCATTCTGGATAGTGCTAAGGCATGGGGCTGGTCATTGCTGTACAAAGCACTATCCTTCTGGCTGCTAATGGTGTGAGACAGCCCATCTGACCATGGCTTACTGTGACTGACTACTCTCCTATTGCTAGACTGAATAGTAAAAATGTTCGTGCCTATTTTGTAATGGAGACTGGTTTCATTAATTTAACAATTATTACAAATACATACAAGCATTTGGTAAGGTGTAAGTGTGAAAACCTCTTTTATCCAGTCCTCCCTTTGGTTAGAGCACTTTAAAGAGGAAGGTCTTTCTACAAAAGTTCGCCTCATATTTTCCATCAAAATAAAAATGCTTGTGAATGAGTTGCTGAAATCTGGACTAATCTTTTCGTAAGGTAGAACAACATGAAGACCAACTGGGTGACAAGAGAAAATGCCAGATGTAGAGAGTAAAATAGTGCTTTTGCCTCTGGATCCCAGCACAAGTATTTAAAGACTGGAGGCTAAAAATATGGCCCAAGAGCCAACAGTCACAGCTGGGCCTGTCTGCACTCCAGCACCTGAAAAACGCCTGCTCCACTTCCCTTCTGGCTAAGGTGCAGAACATAAAGTTTCCCCTGGAAATAAGGGATTTCAGTCCTATTTTCAGCTTGCTAAATTGGTTATAGCAAAGGCTGTGAGATGCAGTTTGTTTTAGTTGTCTTAATCAAGACCTTAACAGATATGATGAAAAATAGAAAACGGAGAAGTAAACTAGGAATGACAATAAGTGAAGGAAGAGAAAAACAGGAAATGTGAAATCAAATCTTTAGAGATTTCCATCAAGCAGCAGTAAGAAAGGCAGAATCATTTGAGTTTACCTTCTTATCTCTGCTATTTAGAGCACCTTTTAAGAAAAGAATATTGCTAAATGCTTAGGTGTAAAACCTCCTCCACTTGTCATGGTTCAGCTTTTGCAATAAGTAAATGATACTAAAGACTAGTGTAAAGTTCAGCAAATCACACCCAACAGTTCCCTACGAAGTCAGTGATTTCCTCTGCACTTTTGACAAATGTTAACAACAAGGTAAAGGCAGGGGGGAATGATTCATGTCTAAAGGGGAAGGGATGATCCAATGTTTTGCTTGGATGGTTTAAATCAGATTGATAAAGGTTACATTGCCCTTTAATGCTGTAAGTATACCTTCTTTCTGACTAAAAACAGCTCTACTATCATTTTTCCTTTGACATTAGGCTTTTTCTGTAAGTGCAGAACTTACAATGATGGGTTATCAATTTGTGGAATTTATGTTCTTTTAGCAATTTCCATAACACTTTCAACTTCTGAGCCTATGTCCTAAATATTTATTTTAAATTGTCTTTAATTTGCATAGGAATTGGTACAACAATTTACTAAAAGAGCATACTGGCTTGGATTATCATTTAGAACTGAACAGAATGGCTGGTTTTGGGCAGACAACACAGCTCTTACAGAGGAGCAAAAGTCTTGGTAAGTTTTAATGACACAGGCAGAGATTTGCTGTGGTACATAAATTTGGTCCTAGTCCATATGTCAGACACCAAGGTAACTTTGGACAGACATATTTTATGCAGCTTTCTGGGTACTCCAGATCTCACTTTTCCATTTCAGATTTTCCTTGGCCTCAGCCAGGAGTACTTGAAAGCTGATCTAGGCACTATTACAGGGCAAAAAAAAAAGTTACCTGAAAGTTTCTTTTGGAAAACTAGTTTCAGATGGACCATAAAAGCATCATACATTTCTGCTGCATTTGACATCTTGTTTTAGTGAGAGTACATGCAAAAACTCAAACAGAAAGATATTCAATTCATGTTTCCAAAAGCTGTTTTTATATAAGACACCATTTATTCTCTAGAGTCACTTCCCTTCTGTTTAAAATATCTCATAAATTAATATATTTATTTTTCTTATTGCTTTAAAACCTGCTTTCCCAGTTTTCCTTTTCATTATTGATCTATCTCCTCCTAACATGGCTGTTGAATTAGCCACTGCCAGTGCGCCACTCATTACAGGAAACAGGTTAGATTCCATCCTTAGAGTTGGTTGGGGTACTTGTTGGCGTATTCAGGACACGGTGAGCCCCATGGGAACTGGTGCATGATTCTACTAAATTCTGCATTTCTTTGGTGGAGGATATATATGTTTTTTGTGAAAGCCGCTCAAGCAATTCTTGCAAAGATGTTTGAAAGGGGTGAGATGCATAATTTGTATGAGGCAAGATGTAATAATAAAGACTCTTCCCTCCTAGGATAAGGAGCCTCTACTTAGTCCCCTACTGTGTATCTCTTTATAATAAAGCCATCTACAGACAACAATGTAATGAAAAGAATTACTATATATGCGAAAAGCTCGCCATCAAGTTAGAGCGAGGTAACAACCATCAGTGGGATGACTGGTTTGTCAGACCAAAATGATTATTAGAATCTGGAAGATATTCTGCAAGGTTGGAATTTTTTATTCTTATTTTTATTTTTAATTGTCAAATGAGAATTTAATTGCATTGAATCAGACCTAATACAATTCCCTGTTTTCATTCTCTTTCAGACATATGTAAAAATGTTTCACCAAGGAAACATGCATGGAGTTACCTCTTAAGAGTGACCCAAGTCTGTCACTGCAGGTTTAAAAACTGCCAAACGATTGCTCGTTTTCAGCCGTGATGGCCAAAATGGTCAAACGTGGTTTCAAAGGAAAAAAAAAGTTACAGGCCAAGCACATAAAAGCACTACTCCTTGCTGGTTCATAATTTTACAGCTGTAATATAACATAAGTGATGGATTAAACCATTCAGAATACTCTTCTGATGTCTTCTTGATCTGACTGCTTTAATATACTACTGTGCTAGAGTGCCCAACACACAAACTCAGTTATCCTCAGAAGGTAGACGAAGATGTTCCCAAACTGTGTTAGTAATCATATGTGCTCTGGAGCACAGGTATTCATAGTCCTTGAAAGGATTTATGCGTGTGCCACAGCAGAAGATATTCTTCAGCTGTGAACATCTAGCTCTCTTCCATGCTTCATCCTTCTTCCTGGCACTATTAGTTCTATCTTTTTTTTATTTTAGTTTGTTTTCTTTTGTTTCAAGTAATTCAGTAATACTTCTACTCTTTTTTATTTCCTACCTTTTCATTCATGATTTACTAAACCCAGATGCCTACTGTGATGTATTGCAAAAGTTATGCCCAGATTCAGTCAGTAGCATGAACTCCTTTTAGATTTTTTTTAGGCTATTTCTTGGAATGCCATACTACTAATATAATTTTGAGCAAGGGTCTACAAATGCAAACATAGGAAAGATACCCCAAGCAGTGTTAATGCACAAAATGTGTCCTTCCACATCTCCATGGAGCAATGGAAGTAAGATTGACCTGTAACAATGTCTTGAACTAAGTGAAAGGCCTGCAAATTTCTACAATAACAAAGGACTTTGCCCTAATTTGCCAGAAAAAAAAAAAAAAGCCCAGTGTTGTTTTCTCTTACATTAGAGTGACTAGAAGAAAAAGGCCTAAGAGCAGATAGGTGCTTCTGCATGGTTTGTTGAACACAAATATGAGTTGAAATTGACAGGTCCCCAAGCTGACAGGCAGTCACAAGGCTGTACCATATCTTGCAGTGGCCTTGATCCTTCTGGTCAACTCACTACTACGCCAAAACCAATCATCTGCGGTACAGTAGCTGTACTTGTAACTCTAAAGCCAAGTAGGATTAGAGAATAGCTACAATGTGCACTGTGCTACTGAGACAGAAGGAATTAGATTTATTTTTCTCCATGAAAAACAACAATAACTTAAATGCTCAAAAAAAAGACAGGTAACCAATCCAGAGAAGTAAGAGAGGAGGCAGTGTCCCACCATTTGCTGCAGATGTTTGGAGCGCTGCCCTGAGACAACCTGTTCCAGCAAGGGTGAAAATGGCAAAGGACAATATGCAGTGTTTGATTCTGTTGCCTTTTCCATTAAAAAGAGTTTTTCCCCACAGAAGAGACATACAGAAACATTTTGATTTTGCACTTGCTGGGATGGCATTTTTGAACGACAGTTCTGTACAAGAGTATTTCCCATGTCCAAAATCTACCTCCAGTCATAAACGCTAGTAAATGTAATTGGCTAGACCAAATTCTGGTTAATAAATATAGCTGCTTTGTCCAGCCTGCTGACAACTGTTATACATGTGCTGTGTTCAAATGTAGACAGGACTTCCTGTCTTAGTTTATCATTTCAGTTAGAATAAACACGAAATTTTGTCTGGCTCTTTACAACAACAGAGAGTATGATTGTGATGTGTGCCCCATCACATTGCTTTAATTACAAAATGTTACTTGTGTTCTCTTTCAAAAGGCATCTCCAAAACAAAAAAATAAAATAAAATAAAAAAAGGAAAAGCCAGACTTACTGGCTTATTGGATTCGGAGCAGTTAAAATAATACAATAGAATGGCTTTTACCTCCTATTTAATTCTTTCATGATAGTGTCTTTTCATGCTGTTGATACTACTTTTTAATTGGGCAGCTCTGCACTCTACACATGGAAAGAGGAGCAGCTACCATAGAAATTCTTCTCTTGCTTTCTCCCTGCCTTACCATTTTATGACTCATCATGTCTGGGCAAGTGCTCTATTAAGTAGTGTCAGCCACTATTTTAAGACTTTTAAGAACTACAGTTCAGCATTGGAGTAACACACTGCAAAGAGCTGGAGATGGAGAGTGAGGACAGATAAGTCATGTCTGAACTGTAGTCTCTGCCCATGAGCATTTGTGCAACAGTAGAGGTATCTTCAGTGTTGCCTGGTCTTTCTATGACCCAGACTGAGTGATCATGTGAATCCAGCTAAACTCCTGGTCATCATCCTTTCAGCTCACCTTTTCTCCTCACTCTCCTCACTTTGAACCTTCCTTTCTTTCTTTCCTGATCCAGTACCCTCCCTGTCTCCTCATCCCCTTTTCTGCCCAAAGTTTTCTTTTGACCTCATCCTACCTAACAATCCCCCACTCCCTAGAAAAGAAATAGCTCATCCCAAAAGGACTTATTTGCCCACACATTAGTCCACTGTTCTCAAGGAGGAACAAAGTCTTTTCCTTCTAAAATATCCTACAGCATTGATTTCATAGGACATAAACATAAAACAGCAGCCTTCCTACTTGCCTACTTTCCTCACTTGCTATGAGTACAGTCCTTCATTACCTAGGAAAACAGATACCATTTATTTTGATTCCCCAGAATTCAGTGCCAAACTGCATAGACAGCCCTGTCAGTCTTTCTTCACTAATCAAATACTCTAATCCTTTACACTTGCTACGTGGCTTATAGATCCAATTTGATTATTTTACCAGATTCAGAGATAGGGATTTTCCCTGAACAGTCCTCTCCCTACATTTTCCTAACTAGCTCACAAACAAAAACTGCACTGAGGAAGGTAGAGGAGCATGGCTTGAAATAGAGTTAAAGGTATTCGTAGCATTTATTTCAGTGAATGTTTGTAAAATAATTTCATTTTTCATTTCTCTCTTAGTAGTATAAGGAGATGCATCCCATTGTTTTCAGTGGACCTGTGGTGTTGGATTTGTGTCTTGACCGTTGAGTAGATATCTTTCATACATTAACTCAAAATAACAAGTATTTCTACAACATCTTATTTTAAGAAAGTAGAAAAGCCTAGTGTTTGATATATATTTATAGCTAGATCAGGTGGGTATAAGTGAAACAGCCATAGGTTCCATCCAAGAATCAAGATTCCCTGATCTTCACATTCAAGCAAATGTCCATCCTTCATAGCATTTCTTTAACTCCTAAAAATGCTTTTAAAATGTTACTATGATACAGTAATCAGCACAGAGACAGCTTCCTTTGTGGTTTCACTAGAAACACTGAAATATCAACCGTTTTCATTGTCTCAGCATTGGTCTTGCTGCAGTGTGCCCTTACTACCAAAATACTGCTATCTCATGAAAAAGGTGTAACGAAGCACAGATGGAGGATGAGGAAGGCTACACCACTTTAAATTTGCAGCCTTCAACTTCAGTTGTTACTCTCAGATATTCAAGTAACGACAAAAGTTCTGTGTTTAATACTCCAGCCAGTTTTGTTAAAGTAGACAGTAAGTATTCCTTAACTTCTCTATCTAAATTGGGACATGACTTGAATTTGAATGCTCATGTTGATTGATCTAGAATCTTGCTAAACTTTATACTATATTATTCTGTGAATATTCATAGAAAAAGCAATGGGAATGATCATAATGGAGTCTTGTGCATTATAGGTTATGATCACAGATGATTTTTCTGAAGGCTTAAAGGTCTATACTCCAATTATTTCTGCATTTACTTCAACACTGAAAATAAATACTGCCTTTGATATATATTTTGTTGTTTTGGTCAGACTCCTTTGTAACAGCAAGGTAACAGAGAGAAAAGTACTATAATTTTATCTGATAGCTCTGATAGGAGTATATTTTTATTTGTTTATACTCAAAGCTTTTCTTTAAATGGACTGTTAACTAATGTGCTGGATTGTGCCTGTGGAATGGTTGAGCTTATAAAATGATGACTTGAGTACTACTGCGGCTTAGAAATTTACCAGGTTGCTTATGTATGAAATAAGTATGCACTGCTGCTATTCACAGCTTGGATAGAGCAGATAAACATACCGCTCTGGTGCTGTTTGAAAAAGATCTGGGGCTATCCAGTAAGAATGGCAGCTCAAAAGAGAGGATGGAGAAGCTGTTGAGAAGCAGCAGCCAGAAAACTAAAGGTGAAATATTAGGGACTGTGTTCCTAACTGTAGAGTCTCCCAGAGAGAAAAAGGGTGGCATTCTGGGAAAATTCTTAAATGGCCTCTTGATACACAAAGATCATGCGAAGTAGATAGACTCATTAACTCAGAAAAATTTAGGTTGAAAGGGACCTCTAGAGTTAATCTATTCCAATCTTTTGCTCAAAAGGGATAGTTTCAAGGTCTCATCAAGTTGCTCAGGGCCTTGTCCAACTGAGTTTTGGAAATGTCCAGGGATGGAGAATGCATAACTTCCCTGGACGCTCACTCTAGTACCACTCTTAGTGGAAAGATTTATTTTTTTCTCATCTATTCCATGTCTAATCAGAAGTTGCCTGGATGAAACTTGTGGCTGTTGTGCTGTGTCCTTTTGCTGTGCCTCTCTCAAAAGAGTTTATTTCCATCTTCTCTGTAATGTCTTTTTAGGTAGTGGAAGACTGAAAATAGATCCTTAAAAAAAAATCCCTGGCTAAACAAACCCAGGCCCTTCAGTCTCTCTCTCCAAGTCCCAATCATCTTAGTGGCCCTCTGCTGGACTCCCTCCAGTTAGCTGACATCTCTCTTCAACTGGGAGGCTCAGCATTGGACCCAGTACTCCAGATATGTCTTCATGACTGTCAGGCAGAGTGGAATAATCATGCCTCTCGACCTGCTGGTTTGTTCTTCCCAGTGCAGCCCAGAATTGCTTAGACCTCACTGCCACAAGGGCACATTGGTGGCACATGTTCAACTTCTCTACCAAGACCCTGAAGTTCTAGTAAATCAGTCTCCTTCTGTATTGCTGCAAGGGATTGTACTGTTCCAAGTGCAGGACTTGGCATTTTTCTTTCTTGAGCTCTGTTGCACTTACAGTTCTTTCCTAAGATATTTAGGTCCCTTTAAATGGCAGCCCATTGTATGCCAATATGTCAATATGGTGTATAAAGAAGGCCAATATGCCTCCAGTATACCAAATCATTATTCTCCAATTTGGCCTCATTTGCAGTCCCTTGAAATTACCTTAAGTGATGAGGGCTAAGGGCATCACCCTTAACTCTGGCTATGTAAGTTTTAATTGCCTAGTTTGCCTGGACATCTGGGGCACCTCTGAAGGGTGATTTTTCTTGAATTACAAAAGGTTTGGCCTCTGGTGGTGCTTGCTCAGAGGCACTTGACTCAGGTAATAGTACTTGATGCCTGTAATAATATTCAGTTAACCTGAACAATGGAGGATAGCTATAAAAGAGTATTGCAGAAATACTTTTACAGAAATTACAGTGCAGTATTGCTCCACAAAAGAAAAAAAAAGTAAGAAAATATTTTAATTGGGAGACAGTCAGCTGGGAAACTTTGGAGAACTGTATTCCTAATAAGACATTGGACCACAATGGAAATATGAAGAAAGAACCTGGAGAAAGATGAGTTTAATGTTCAAACATAGTAAGCATTTACAAATCCCAATTACAGGGTTAAGAATTAATTTTATATATGGTGAAGATTGTTCTGACACTAGATAGTAACTTTTCCCCTTTGAGGCTGAGAAATCTTAGATTTTATTTTGTTATTTCCAGGACTGTTGAAACTTCAAAATTTAATCTGGTTGCCTGCCTCATGAAAAGAGGGATGATTCTAAAACACCAGAGCCTCAGTTGATAAATATTCTTAGTGGACAAACAGATATTTCTCAAGAAAAAAACTCCAGGAAATTCAGAACAATGATAACAAAAACTTCTCAGTCAAGAAAAAAGAGGCTCTGCAGAATGTGATAAAGGTGGACTGGTGATATCAAAGAGGAGGTAATATCTCTGCATTGTGAGGAGTGGTGCTCTTCATTGCAGAATGTTTTTTTTTGTTTGTCCCAGGAGCCTCAGCCTCGGCTTCTATATGGCGACCAGTGGCCTTTACTTTCTTCGCTTTGTGTCTGGTGTTGCTAATGGGACTGGCAACCCTGCTGGCCTTTTGTAAGTACTGTGACATCCTGAGTTAATTTTGTATCAGTGAGATTCAGCAGCATGGCTACTTTATCTTCTTCCGCAGTATAGGAAGAATGTGACCAGTGCGGCTCTCCTACAAGCAACACCCCCTTTCATTGTGTGTCAGCCTGAGTTACTCTGGATCACTTAGATCTGTACTTATAGCCTCTAGTCCATTCCATGTTGACCATCAGATAAACTACCGATTGTAACAATATTCACATACTAGCAATTTAAGTTACACCTACAGGAGTAACTGAGATGTGAAAAGCCCTATCGCATTTCTCAAACACTTTGGTTTCATTGTTAGAAATATATACGCTCCTGCTCATTAGCTACACTATATAAACAACAGTGCCCCCCTGTGAGCGATACTGGCACATTTCACTGTCAACATTCAGGCTTTTTCTTGGATTGCAACCTTTTCTGCAGTGACGGAAATCTTGGCATCAAATCATAGTAATTTGTGCATTTGCCCATCTATTATAGCATGTTTTCCTCAGAAACATTTCAATTAAAAAATTGGTATGTTGAGGATTGTTCCACATTCCATCTGGAAACAGACATAACAGAGTCTCAATTTTTTTTCAGAGGGGAAGGAAGGGGGAAGTAGTTACAAGTGACCAGAAAAAACACCAAGTGTTGGTCCATCACATCACAGAAATGTTAGCTCAAAACCAGCTGTGCAGGCTTCTCATCCAGCAGCCCTCCCACCCCTACCACAACACCACGCAAAATGGGACTGTCAGTAACCCTAGAAAAAAATCATCTGTAGCTTTGTCTAGATGAGTTTTGAATATCTCCAACCCACTGCCCTAGGCGACCTTTTCCAATGCTGCACTACTACCCTCCTGGCGAGGAACTTTTCCTGGTGTCCAGCCTGAACATCCCAAGCCCAATGTATGGCTCTCACCCATTGTTATATCATTGCTGCTAATTCACAGGAATATGGCTCTCTCATCTTTGTAACTCTCCTTCAAGTAGTTACAAGCAGCTATTAAATCCAGTTGCAATTAATTGACGTTTGACTGAATTATTTCCTTCCTTCCTTCCTTCCTTCCTTCCTTCCTTCCTTCCTTTTGTCGAATGCATTGAAAGAAGATTCTGCAGTAAGAAATCATACCTGGTCAAAAATCAAATATCCCTTTGAAAGCCCGTTTTGATTAACTAATTTTGATGACCATCAAGTACAAAGATCTATATATGCTACAAGAAAATAAACATGCTTAGTTTGGACAGGTCATACGGCAGAAAAAAAAGCAGCCCGGCCGGCTAGCCAACAGTTGTTTCACTTCTCCACCGTTTCCAGAATTGGGACAGGCAATGATGATAGGGTTAATTCAAGTTAAATAGCCCTTCCCAAAACCATCTATCTTCTTCACAATGTTCCTTTTAGAAGATCAAATGTTGATGACGTACACAAAGGGGAGACAAAAATTTAAAGAACCCCAAAAGCTACAATTCAAATGTATTAAAAATAAAAAGAACTCTGATAAGCATTTTTGGTTTTAAGTATTTGTTTCAGTTTTTCAGGTTTCCAAGGATTCTGAGGAATTAAAGAAGCTACAAGAGATGAGGGAAATGTTGTGTTTTGAAGGAAAGGAAAGCAATAAGACTAATGGTAAATATGGTTTTATGCAAATAAACTCAAATAAACTCAAATCACCCCATCTTCAGAGCCCATTGGCAGAGACTGTAAAGCCACCAGGAAGAAGTCTGATCAGTTATTGCCTGTTTTTATCTGTGGCGGATTTGAGATATGGATGTGTGTATATTCAAACTGTGATTCAGTGGCTTGTTTCTCACAAGCCTGTGAAGATCTCAGCTGATTCATGGCTACTCTTAATCTTCTTTTCTCAATCTTCTTTTTTCAGTCACACTAGTAGCTAAAGCCCCTGTATTCCTTGTTGATCTATGTAATAATGTCTCTCTGATTTCTAGAAACAAAATGCGCTCTCTGTCCAGCAAGCTGGCAAAACAGTGGAGCTGACAACTGTTTCTACATTTCAAAACAGAAGAAAACATGGAAGCAAAGCCAGGAGTTCTGTTCCTTGAGAAATTCCACTCTACTTGTGCTAAAAGACAGAACAAAGATGGTACAGTCTTAACAGCTTGTCTTGAACCAACAAATTGCACAGTATTAGCATGGAGAAGAGACTTAGCACCTCAAATGCATATTTACATTACCTCTCTCCCCAAGTTTTCTCACTAAGGATTCCTAGCATCAAATCTAGTATCTAGATTCCTAGCATTTATATTAGATCACTAGATCTAGAGAGCACCACATTCACCATGGTTCTACCAGATGCTGACTGCAGTGCAAAGTGACTGCAAAAGGCTCTTTTCTAACCTTGTGTTATAGCCTTCATAGACTGGTATTCAAGATGGCACAGAGGGTAAACAGCAAAGAATTATATTATGATGATTTATTAAGGTTTTTGGAATGAATATTATCATAATATCATTATATTAATATTATAATATTTTTATTATAATTTAAGTTATCTTACTAATTTTGCTATTTTTGATGAAAAATGAAAATCTGTGATTTACTGGCAAGGGCGTATTTTCCCTTTTTGTACAGACACCTGGGAACTTCCTTTTCAACAGCTATTAAGCTTATAAATGAAACCCAAATATCCTTTTTGCCTTTTGCTACACAAAAACTTTAAAAGGAAACAAACGTGCCTGAAAGTATCTCTACTTTTACCAAATGGAGTTAGTTTCAGATGGAGATACTCAATTATCTCTCATTTTAAGGCTTAAAGGCTTATCCTTTGGATTTTTTTAAGTGAAAATCAGATGGGCAGACACAAGAGAGAAAGCAGAGAAATAGTTAACTACTATCTTTCCATACAGATATATGGGACAAATAGTGACATCCTGAGACCAGGATCCTGGTTTACACTGTTGAGCAACACCTGAAAAACACTCCTTCAACACCAAATTCAAGAGATTATTTTGATATGCTATATAAATCCTTGGATGGTTTAGTTCCAGATGTCTGGGTAATAACTTATTCTTCCATGTTGGGCATATGCAGCTGCAGCTACACTGAGGCCAGACCAATTTAAGTCTGATGGATTTCAGATTTTGTGCAAATCCCTGAATATGCTACTGAGTAGTAGCAGAACATATGGAAGATCTGAAGGGGCTAAGACCTCTTGGGTTGCATTTAGATATCTGGGAATCATCCAGGTACCTAAGCATAGATGAGATGCTCTAGGGTGTCCTTTTTGACCTCCAAATAATGCTTCAGAAAGGCATAGTTCTCCCATAGGTCCTGGGTCTTGTCTGCCAGACCTATGTGAACACCTCAGGTAGCTTAGGGCATCTCATATGCTGGTAGAGGCCTATATTTATGCAATAGGAACTGCCCTCCAGGGTGGGATTCATCTCACCCAGGCTTGGGCTTCCACAGAGTAAGTAGTCAGCAACTTCAGAGGTACTTAGGCTCTGTTACAGGCAGAGGCGATCTAGCCAATTCAGTCACTGGAGCAATTCAGCTCACTATTCAGTAGCGCTGCCACTGTGTGAGATGAGTCAAACTCCAGGCTCTGCTGGCTCTGTTGGCCAGATCTGCACTAACTTTAAGTGGGTCTTAAGCAGTGCTGTCATGTATGTACCAAACCGTACATAATACGGCAGACCAAATAAAGCTCTCTCCAAGGTTTTTTTGTAGAACCAGGGTACATTTATCTTGTGACATTCAATAAGCAGAGGTATTTGAATGATCCTATAATCAGAGCAGTCATCACTGTAATATGGAGAATAAGCATGAACAGTAGGCTACTCAAGTTATCTCCATTAGTTGCTGAACCTTCACAACTATGAGCTACAGAAACTTGGGTTTTATTTTTAAATATCATTGTGATGATTTTCTCATAGCTACAGGTCTCTCTACCACGGGATCCACAGTTTTACTGGGTTGGATTGTCATATATCTCTGAAAGAAACGGCTGGTACTGGGAGGATGGGACAGCTCTTGTGAGAGAAGTCACAACTTGGTAAGCCTTGGTAACTGAGGACCAGTGTGATTCTATCCTATGGGCCTCAGTAAAATATATGAAACTTACGATGACTCTTACTTTTCCACGTTTGCTACCACGTTTGCTATGACTAAGGAGCACAGAGGTCCTAGTATCCTTTATAGAGCTGCTAGTTCCTGTCCTGAATAAGGAACAATGGCTGGCAAAGTACAGCCGCATCACAGTCACATAAGGGATCACCTAGCACCAATAAAATAGCTCCAAGGGGTAAATAACTATATTCCAGTGATTGATAAATCATTTTCATTACAAAGGGCCCAAACACATTGGGGCATCATTAAGTTGTATCTTTTAATTTTCCAGGATTGTATTATATGAACACATCTTCTGTGCTTCCTTATATGGACAGATAATTTACACCAGTAACTCCTGTTCAACAAAGCAATTCTGGATCTGTGAGAAAGGGGCTGTTCATTTCACCTGAAGAAGTATTTCAAAAGGGATGCAGACTCTGTCAGTGTGAGATATGATCTTTAGCTGTTAAAAGTTTTAAATATATTTTTAGTTTTATTTGTTTATTTTGCAGCTTTCTCAAAATGTTTATTGAAATGGATATGTCATTAGAGACTAAACCCTTCTCTTGCCTCCATTTTCCCTCTTAGGTTCACAATAAGAAATATAAACCTAGGAAGCAACTTGAAAGAATTAGCTATAGTGAAGCAATGATTCTTGAGTGACTCTCTGAGGAGGCAATTACACAGCCTCACAGCTCTCTACCAAAATAATTCCTGAGCTTCTGCGGGAATTTCTCCTTTTCCCAGCGTTTTACACTAACACCTGGCAGACAGTCAGAAACAAGTCCCCCTTCATCCTTTTTGATTTTTCTCACTGAATTACTCACTGTACATGCTAAATAGAGTCCACCTTTTTTAGACCAGTTTGCCTAGTCATATCTTCTTTCCTAAATAATTCTTCCAGCTATTCCCCTGTTCTAGGTATGGGGATACAGAAAGAATGCAAGGCTCTAGTTAGTCAAAAATCTTTTCATGTAATACTTATAGAATACATTTTATTGATGAGCTGGCTGATGTCTCCATTTCAGTGATTTCAAAGATCATTTGTCTGTTTTTTCAGATGATTAATACTTAAAAAGATTGAAAACAAGTACTGGTAAATATGCATTATTCTTATACTCTTTTGAATGCATGACAAACTTTCACTCCCCACTGCATCATCAGGCACTGGCAGAATATCATATTATCTGAAATATTCCACATTACACGTCATCAGCCTAGAGAAATCACTTAGTGGTGGCTAACTTTGTCTGGACTGGGAAGCAGGAAATAATTAAGCTGGCTCTTCAAGTTTTCAATGTTAAAAGATGACTTAAACATATGAGATACAAAGTTCTCCGTATAACACTTAAAATGCTATTTGGAATGCAAAAACAAGCTCTACCAAAAAAGCTATTCCAGACACAAGAATACTTGACCTTTATAAAGTTCAAAGAAGTGGGTGATTCATGGGCTAACCTTATTTTATAAACCAGTATTTCTGGAAAGAAAGGGCTAACCAGTGGTTAAAATATAATTGGAGGGACCTGGACTGCTTTCTTGAACATTTCAGTAGGGCTAGACACAAGCTGTCTAGTCAAGCTGTAACTATTTTACCATTTCTAAAATGAAAATGCCATTATTTGTAGGGTAATTGTATGTATAAATATATTAAATGTGTTGGTTATCAGCTAATGGGAGACATTCAGATACTGTTCTAAAATAAGTTACTAGGAGAATAAAAAATTGTCAGAAAAAATAAAAAATGTAAGATTAAAAAATCATCAAAAATGAAACAAATCTTTAATTCAAGAAAGTTCAGGGAACAGTAGCAGTCCTGAGATTAACCCTTTTGGGGAGGTTGCAGTTGCAAAACATTGGAGATAATTTTACTCTGAATAAAATTTTGCTTGCCTACACAAATAAGTTCAGCAACAAATTCAGGGCATTTAGGGAAATCACTATATCTGCAGATTGGCTCACTTAAAAAAAGCTACTTTTAAAGCACTAAGGACATGGTAAATGCAGGTTCCCTATAATGAATAATTGGAAAAAGAGTGTTATATATTTGGTGATTCCTTGTTAACAAACCAAATGTAGTAAAAAAAAAAAAAAAAAGATGTAAAATACTAGTCCTTAAAACCAGAAAAATGTAGTTCTGCATCCCATGTTAAGAGACACAAAGAACTAAGTTCAGTTACAAGTTTATGGGTTTCAGGCCTGGATAGAGCATTAATTGTGTATTTCTCTCCTTGCTTCCTTGTTCTTGCAGCATTCCTTATCAGAGATGACTCAGTAGCATTTTCTATATATCATGTTCCTGTGCAGTTTGGAAAATGACAGTATATCTTGCAGGGCTTGCTGTTTAAGGACAGCAGCTTCCACCTCCACATGAAATCAGAGACACATCCAGTTTCTAGGCTAATCATGAGTACTGGGATCCTGCTGCAAGAACATTTGTTCCCATTTGGATTTGTTTATATTTTTATGGCGCAGGTGGTTTACTGATTTTCTGTCACCACGGGTAAATGACAATACAGAGAAGACAACTCAGTAAAAATTAAAGCTGTGTCACCACCCTCGAGGCTGCATGTCTAAGTCTTGCCACTTGTGCTGTTGTATGTCAATATGAAGCAACTGAAAGCAATGTAAGAAAATTGAATTAGCGGAAAAATTTTCTTAAAAAAATAGATACTATGAAGAAAAGTATTTATGAGTTTGGAAGATCTATTGAGATGGAAACTTATGTTGGGAGCAGTAGGGAAAATATTTGACAAGAAGCATAGAGGGTGGCTTGTGATCTGAAGGTTTGCTTTGTGACAATGTAACATATGTTCTATCTTTATATTTTGATTTTAATGGACAATGTATTGAACTATAAAGGCTCAAGATGTATTATTATTATTATTATCATTATTATTATTATTATTATTATGAACTACATAGCATTAAGAATACAGACCTATTAGGGGCTCTGGCTGTTCTAATGCAACCTTATGGCAACATAAAACAGCAAGCAATTGATATTCCAGTGATGGCTATCAAAAAAATCTTCCTCTCTTTGTCTTTTCACAGTGTACTGCAAAGTCTAAAGACTGGGGCACTGTATAAGACTGGAAATGACTCAGTTCAGTAGATTAAATGTATCATCGGATGCTGCCTCTTGATCATTGTTAGTTTTAGATGCTTTCTGAAGCTAAGTGACAGAAAAGATTAAACCACTCTTAAGACAAATTAACACTGGTGTTATGGTAATTTTGAGGGACAAGCCTTCACAGATAGCTATGCAAAATGATGTGGTTAGCAAGACTTACAAAGCTCAGTTGAAAGATTGTTGTTCCAATTCACTGCTTATTAAAATCATTCTGTTTACCCAGCAGCACGAAATAGACTCCTTCTGTGAGGCAAAGGATCCTGGAATATCTGACAAAGATTTATTAATAGAAAACATCAATGAGAGTTAAGAAATGTTGCATGAAAAATGCAAGCAATGATTTAGAAGATGATCTGATTTCTGAAAGGGAAAACTGAAAGTGCAGAATGGCTGACTACATGATGCAGAAGATAAGTATTTGCAATTGCTTAGTTCTAAATTGCTTGAAAGTTCTGAATATTTTACTGCATATAACAAAGGTGCAAGACTTGACATCTGTTAAAATAATGGTTAAGTGACTCCCTTACATACACGGGCAAATTTTTCTCTCCTGGTTTAAGCCAAAATTCAAGAACTGATTTATACTACATATCAACAAAATTCAGGATTATGCATTATTCAAATAAATACAGCAACAAGTTGTACACTGTATATCTCAGGGCAGGCAGCACCGTATTACCGGCATATTGTGTGTTATTCTCTTTTGTGTCACTTGACTCATCATGCAACTGTTATAATCATGAAACATCAAGGTATAAAGAGGTGGTATAAAATAAAAGAAGCTAAACAGCAACGAAGATCAGGAACTTATCTCCCCGTCTTATTCCTTCCTGGGATTGCAAAAGCTCACCATCCAGGCCCATGGACTGCTGTTCCTGAGTTCATATGGAAACGATGTGCATGCCATGGATTGACTCACCTGCAGATGCACTATGAGGTAACATGTGGCACACGTGGCAGGAAGCCTGGGACCAGCCCTCTGCACAAGGGTAGAAATCTGCTGTGCAATGGGCCACATTAGGAGCAATCTTCATGCCACGGACAGGGGGATAAGACACTAATGGAATCTCCTCTCCAGTGCAGTCCAGAACAGCATTTTATTCAGCACTTCATTCCCTCATTTTTTTCAGCATTTCACTCTCGGCAATGGTCCATAATACCAGTGCTTTTCACATGCCCTATTTCTTCCTGAGACAGGCCTCCACAGTCAACTACTGCTCCAACAGAAAACCTTTGCATGACCTCCCCTCACCCGCCCACTGACCGCATGTCCAGCACACCAGTTCCCACTGTTGCCCTTCCAGTGCCCATCATATGAGCTTTGCTCACTGGCTCAGCCCTTCACTGATTCCTCATCATGCTAGTCCCCTTGGTGAGAGCTCTCCTGCTTTCTCATGCTGTTGTTCTTAAGAATCTCTTCTTTTATTGGTAAGGGTTGTAACATGGAGACTCCCACCAAGTCCTCCACGTGCTGGAACAACAGGCCTATATGGGTTATCCCTTCCATCATTCACATGATGCTTGTGTAACCTGTAGGATCCCAGGTAGTACCTCCAATGCTATTGAGACACTATGCTTAGAGTTCAAATCGGCAGCATTTACAGGCCATGAGATAACGGTGCTGCAAGACACACTGTTGTTCCTGCTCCTCTGAATCACTTCTTCATAAACATAATTAAGATAATTGCCATATTGCTAGAAAGTAATTTACTGAGGGTTGGAGCATGCTTGTTGGCTGCTGCTACTGCAGAGTTCTGATGCATAGCTTTATCTTATACCTCCCCTAAATTATAGTTTATTTTTCACTGAATGGCACAAAATAGTGTGAAATATACACAGGAACAGGACTTAAGGAGCAGGATTGTGCTGGACAAACGACTCAACTCTACCTTAACGTATCATTACCAAAAGCCAGCACAGCTTGATCAGACTTCCACATGGGGAAGGGCATAGCCAAGGATCTAACAAGACAGCGGTAGCCAGGCAGAAACTGGAGTGTACAGAGGGTATCCAGGAATTTCACTAGAACAAAGTCAATTTTCCAGTCATGGTTGTCCACTGAAGCACTGTTCTCTGGCAAGCTGACTAAGTTATCGCGTTTCTGCCTTCGTAGTGGATGGCGCTGAACATGATGGAGCAGACTCCTTGAACTACGTTTTCGTGTGGACGGGGCTGACCAGTCACTTCGTGCCAGAGACATGTTGTAGTCATAGAGGTCTAGCAGTGTCTGATGGGTGATCTGGTCCAGTTCATCTAGCTTCTTCCGGATGGCGCTGT